TTTCCAAAAAAAAAAAAAAAAAAAAAGGAAAATGTAGAGAATTTAACGAAAATCTTTGAAAGATAAGAGAAAGAAAAATATATGTGATATATCTGAAGATACTTCGAGAGATCGAACGAGCCTCGTACAAAGACACAAACATAAGTTTCTGTTTAAGGATAATTTCTATCAAAGTCTGCACGTACTTAGGTATATCATGCAACGAACAACGGAATGAGCCGAAAACGTAAATAAAGTTAGCCTTTTGAAATTGTTTACAAGGCCCATTTTTAAGTATACGACAAAGGTAATATATTGCAGTGCCGAGAAATTGTATTCTATTAAAAAATTAAAAAACTTCCGCGTGAATTAACGTTTCACCAAGAAAATATCTTCGCTAAGTTGGGAAAACTATTGGGCAAGACAACAATAAAGATATAAATGATAGCTTGAATAAGTGTCGAATTCACAAATGTACATTTTGGAAATAAGGACACGAGGTTGTTCTCATTTACACTGTTGGATTACATCAAAAATACGACTTGCCGCTCTAAAACGAAATTTAATTTTCAAAGTGAAACGAGTAGGTGATAATACGATATCATAATAATTGTTAAAAATTGCGTAACGAACGTTACAAAATTATAAAAGCTGAAAGGAGAAGTACTTCAAATAAGGTGATTTTCTCGGCAGAGCATAGATTTCCTTCTTTAACTACGTAGATACAAATTTCTCAATTTCACTGATCATTCTACGCATTGTAGTATAACCGCACATCTTCTTTGCTCGAAAGCGTGTCGTTTTTTCATTTTTTTCTTTTTTTCTTTTTTCTGCGAGCACGTCGCTCCACACGCTACATTTACAAAAATCTTCCGTCTGTCTCCGTCAATTCTCTCTTGCTCGTTAATTCTCGTAGAAAATTAGAAACGTTGGTACATGAAAACAATGAAAAGCGGATATCAAAATTTCGGTTCGTTCGAGTCAATAGTGGCGGCTCTGTCAATCCTCCGACGATGTAACAATTAATCCACCACGCTTCAACGAGGATCTTTCGAATCGTCGAAGAGGATCGCGATTTATTTGTTCTATCGTCCCTTCTTCGACTCGTGTTTTCATCGTCAAATTCAATTCAAACTATTCCTTAGATAGACGAAACATCGAAACGTATTTGTCTGTATTTCTCAATATTTAATCTCGATGGTGCACGTAACTGATAGTGTGAAATTTCTCGAGAAACGCCTTCGTACGAAAAGGAAAGTGAAAAAAAGATCCCAAAATCAATCGTCAACGTTTAAAACTTGCTGAAATTTCAGCAAAGATCTCCAACTACGATGTCAATTCCAGACATTGCGAAGTCATCGAGGATACGCAAGACATCGTGTTCGATTCGAATTTCAGAAAACTTCAGAATCGAAATTCGTCGAAGACACGAGTGAGAAAAGGACAGAAATTTACCAGAGCCGTGTGTGTCACATTGAGCGGAATGGTCCAAGGTCCTCTAAGAGGTTCTCGCGGCAAATTCGCGCGCGTCGATGATCTGCTAGCAGTCCGAACGATAAGCTCGAAGGGTGCCCCTCTCGATTCGCGAAGAGGCGCGGTTTGTTACCCATTATCGGCCCTCTATCTCGATATCAATCGCGATCGCGCGCTCGTTTCTGTTCGAAATCATGTTATGAATCATCGTAACAATAGCGCAACAGTGGCCAGACATAAAAGACGGTGTATCGGCATATTTGATCGTAATTAACGCGCGAATCCCATCCCATCGTAAATCCCCGTACCCATAGGCGGTAGAATATCGTTACGACCCACTTATGACTGGATATTCCGCGCAGTGGGTGCATTGACAGTATTCGTTCGAAAACGCTTGTATAAATAGTATATGATGATATTCAGTTCGTGATATTTTATCGAAATATCAAAACATTGTTACGATATTATCAATGATGTTACAGATCGTTCTTTCATCGTAACAGAAACGATCGCACGAACTTTCGCCCGATCCCATCTCGAGTAGGGTCGACGCGACTGATATCCGGCAGGGTAACGGCGATGCAGCTTCTGCTTCCGGTGGCACGTCGACGATCGTTGGAGCCAGTTTTCTATGGTCGCCGTCATTAATTCGCTCGTTTGTCCTTAATTCGATCTCGTCGTTCGTTCGATTAATAAGAAAAAAGCGAATAAATTCGCCTAAATATGAGGGATGAATATGTACAAAAGTTAGGCTGTTGTGAACGACTACGCGGTTGATAGATATCGAAAAAGTACGCTTAGAGGATGAACGAACGTTTGGACCGGTTATGCGAGACGACCGACGAGATCGATGATTGTTCTTTTTTCTTTTTTTTTCTTTTTACTTATTTACTTATTTATTTATTTATTTATTTATTTAGTCGATCGTGACGTGCATACTGCACGAAGCATGTATATACACACACACATATATATATGTATATATAATTCTGAATCGACGAGGGAGAATTATAATTCTTTTGTCCCTGCGTTGGTGTTATACTTTCTCTCAGTAGCTATAATCGCGAACACAATCGATTTTTTTCAACTGTCATAATAACATTATTTAAGAAATAGAACAAGGATATATTTATTTGTATACATATAATATATATGTATATATATCTATATATATATAATATGTATATCGGCTATCAATAGTGTCATCTCTGTCAAACATTCGATAACATTGAACATCACATATTTCCTCTCTCTGCTCATTCGCACCCTTTCTTTCTTTAATCCCCCTTTTCGTCGATTCTTTCTCGTTCGCTTGGTCTCGGTCTAATTTCGGTTGCATTTCTACATCTTTTCTTATCTTTTTTTCGCTTCAACCATTTACACGACAGCAATACATTAGAATATGACGAAACGTAACACCGAAGAACCTTGATAATCGTGTGTCTAGAGGACCAACGAGTAATCCGTTTCTATCTCTTTCGTCTTAGCTTTTTATTCTTTTCTTCGCGTTTCAACCGAGCAGCCATCCTCGAGAACGAGAACAGATTTTTTGCACGATGGGATCCAATCGATCTCATCTATTGGCAACGTGGTTCTCGACAAAGGTGCTCGTTCCTCCACTTTTCCCCATTTTCTTATTCTTCCTTACGCTTTTACGTTTGCGAGTGGACATATCGGCACCCAAACGAAAGTATCATGCTAGTTTACACATTCGCTCGCATTCTTTTTCTTTCTTTCCCATGCACTCTTTGTTTCGCGCCATCGAACCGATTGGAAAACTCGGAGAACAAAAAAACAAAGTGCAACTCGCAAATATTCGGCATCCTCGTTACATGCCACACCCACAGCCTCAGAAGTTTACATAATACAATAACGTAGCTTAATCGATACGCCCCCGTAACATACGTGTGTGTGTGTGTGTCGGTGTAGCAGTTAACGTGTATAATATACCTATATGATATATTTATATTTATATATATATATATATATATTCATTCATCTTTATACCCTCCTATATTTATAGCGACAGCCTCGCGACCGCGTTACTCGCTGATATTATTAATAATATTAATAATATTAATAATATTAATATCATTAACATTGATATTATTAATACAATCGTTCGTAGTAATACCGACTACTTAACCATAGTAGTACTTTTGTAATACGGGTCCTTTCTCCAAGGGTACCGCCTTAAAATATACATATACATGTATATATATAATATTTATATATATATATTTATATATATAGTGTATATATTAATTTAGAATTGTGCAATGAAGGTTTAGAGCCATTAGTGCGACTACTGCTGCGGATGTGGTCGGACAAGTCGCTTTTCGTGTCTAGTATACATGGATAACGTGGGGTGCGGAGTGCGAATTCTTTTTTATATTTCTTTTTCAATTGTTATATATTCATTTCTTGGTAAGACCGTCTTAAGCAGATACTCGGTGATCTAAACTTCCATGGAAGCTTATTTAAGAGGCTTCCGTGTCTCAGCCACTAACACCTCTATACCCTTCTTGTCCTCAGTCTTCCGGTTCCCTCCAATATACATCGTATCTTCCAACAACGCGTATCATTCTCAGTGCAGTAACGATCTAACCGAAAATACAAAACCAAGAATCCTATCATCCATCCTTGTCCTCAATGCCCTGTCCAGTCTTCTCTATCCATCATTCAGCAAAAAATCGGCAAGATTAATTTCTACTATTTCCCTTGTTTCTTCTTTTACGTTTCAGACACAGAGTCCTCGTCCATCTTTCAATGAATCCCGCAACTGGGAGTCGTGAAATCGTCTTCTATGCGTACAGCAGCCTCGGGGGAAGGATGGCTGCCCCCTGGACGGCGGCTGAACCATGGACACCCTGTTATACCCAGGAATCGCCAGCTGAGGCGGCAGTCGAATTCGGTGGAACGTTTACCGTTGCGGTAGCGGCCGAGCCATCGGGAACACCAACACCATCGGCCACCCACTGACCAGCCGTGGGAGCACCGGCCG